AAAGAGAATTCAAATGGTACCAATTTCATCAAAATTAAATTACTAGATAACAAGTTATTAACGATAGATCAAAATATACTAATTTGATTAAAACACGAATTTGATTGGTATTTAGACGAATTTGATTGGTTAAAAAATGAAATAGGTTGAAAAAACCTGTATTATTAGGGTTATAGCATATTATTATTATTTTTTTTTTTTAATCTTCACGAGTTTTGTCGTGGCTTGCTTTTTATTAAAATGTGTATAAGAGCTATATACATTTAATTTATAAAACTCAAAGCCCAACTTCACTCGGTTACCTTATGGTTCTAAATGCAACCCATTGCACCAGTTTGCAGACAAACTAGAATTATCTTATCAAAAAATCTATAAAAAAAAGAAAATGACCTATGACTAAAGAGGAGATATAAAAGGAGGAATAGAGGAAATGAACGAAGTATAAAAATAAAAAACCAAAAAAAAAGAAAAAAACAGGAAAAAATAAAAACATTTTATAGAAAAAAGATAACAATTCGAGAGGGATTTCACCTCTCTACATAACCAAAATGTACTATTATAACCTGTACAAGGCTAAAAAATTATATAACAAATGCAACGTTGTATATCTCTATTGTCTTAACCTATATTTTCCTTTCTGACTAACTAATCAACTTCGGATATCTCATTAACTGGGGTCCCGATCTGACTCCTATAAGGTAGCGCCATATCCGTGAATAAACACATCACGTGATTGCATTCTACTGAGTCCGTCCAAATTTGAAATGTAAATGAGAGGAGGTAAAAAAGGTACTACTTAACTAAGTAAAGGAGTGCAGCTTCAAAAAAATACAAGATTTGTTGTTTCCCCTGTGTTCTTCTTTGAAGTAACAGCTAGATAGATTTGTTGACGGAGATGGGGCTAACCCCAAACACCACCAAGATTTTTTATACAAGGGCACCACCTGCCAGTTATCTTGTATAATAACGCTCTTGGCTTGCATGCCAAATGTCACTTTAGAGGAGTCCTGTAAGCCAATAACGTTGACCTCTAGACAAACCACTTCATAGCCACGTCTCTCCAACAAAAATTTTGTTTTTTTATTTAGTCGAATTTTTGGTTTAAATGATCGTCGGGAAGAGTTTTATTATTATTACTAATATAATAGATATAATGCAAATGAATTTTTTAAATTTAATAAATAAATAAAATGCCTTTATGTATTATTAAGTATCTTCAAAATATTTTCCCTGATTAATATAGACTTTTACTTCTTTGTTCATGAGTCTCTTAAACAAAATAATAGAACTATATATAATATTATATGAGAAACTTAACAAACCATTATTCTAAAAGTCAAAAAATTAGCAATTTATCTGAATAATTATTGAAGTAAAGCAAACTACCTTAAAATTTAGTTTTAATTTTTTATCTATATCAAAAAAGTGAAACTGACAAAATAATTACCAAGTAAAGATATTAACTATTATACAAACAGGTATTAAAAAAGCTAAATATACTAGTTCAATTTTCAAAGAAAATTTTAAGTCAAGTAGCTACGGAAGATCCTTTTTTTTTGTTTATTTGTTTATTAATTGAAAGTTTCATGTAATATTAATGATGATTTAATATAGTAAACAAAAGAATCAATTTATTATTTTATGGCAACTTGATTACATTTTGCTAGTTATATTAAAAATGCCAATTTTTCAATAAAGCACATTTAAATTTTTTTATAAAAAAAAAAAATAACCAAAAAAAACAAATGAAGCTCTACGTTTTATTTTTTTTAACATTTAATTTTTATTCTCATAAATGACAATAACATGTATACTATTTTAAATCTTCATACATTCTGTTGCTAGTATTTTTACTGCTTCACAAAAATATATTATACTAGCCAAAAAAAAAAACATCATAGTTTTATTTATGAATTTTGGAGAAATTACAAATAAGGGCCCAAAACTGAAAATAATTACAAATAAGAGCCCAAAATGAAAATAATTACAAACAGAGGCCTGATTTTTGAAAATTATTACAAATAAGAGCCCAAAAAATTTTGTGCTCAAATACCCATGCTTAAGCCCATCGCTCAATGACTCGAATGTGATGCATAATATAGTCATTAATTATCAACTACATAAGTAATGTAATAATGATAAATTAGTAATTTAAAATGCGTAATAAAAAATGTAAACACTTCTTCTAATCCATTCAATTCACTAAACATATCTTTAAAAAACCTGCTTAAAACAATTACAATATTAGATATATTACAAAAAACATTCGCTCAGCCTTGAACAGTTACTCTGTCAAATCCTCTTTACCTTATAAGTTTGGAAATAACAAATCAAACAAGCTACTTGCTATTTGTTCTATAAATGAAAATAGTTTATGCCCTTTTACTGTTTCAGCTAACAAGTGCAAAGATGGTTTTATTATATAATAAAGTTGATTTCTTATAATCCAACTTGTCAAACTTTTATAGAATCATTAACTATTTGATACAGAATCATGTGTTCTTGATAATGAAACTTTGCCGCAAACTACATTTAAACAAGCAGGATGGCATGAAAAATTCAGTTGAGTAGTTGTGAAAAATGGCACCAGAAAATCGGGTTACTTGTGGAAAATATAATAAAAAAGTTATAATTCGCATCGCATATATATAGTTAAAGACCTAAAAATAAAAAATTGCACTGATAATGAAATTTATTTATTTTTTAATGAATTCGATATAATGAAATTCTAAAATATCTAATTAATCATGATACTATTATGTTTAAACTGACTTTTTAGCTAACAATATATTAGGGCCCTTATTTGTAATAATTTTCAAAAATCAGGCCTCTATTTGTAATTATTTTTATTTTGGGCTCTTATTTGTAATTATTTTCAGTTTTGGGCTCTTATTTGTAATTTCCTCTAGAATTTTTTAATTTTTTGTATATGCACTATAACGTATACCCTATACTCTATAAGTCATATGATCGTTTCAAATTCTGTACTACTTTAAATAAAAAAATATAGTTTGTCATTTTACTTATACTTACTCTTATCGAAAGCATCTTTTTTATGTGAGAGTATAACTGAAGGTGTAGAGAAGAGAAGTAGTAATAAGGAGTTGTATAATTTATTAAGTAAGGTTATACAAAAGTAAAGGTCTAAATTTCTTATCACATTTGTAGCATTAGTATTCAAATTTTACTTGATGACGATGACTAAGAGTTTTGCTAAACCTTTACTGCTTTATAGTTTCACTAGAAAGCTATAAAGCTTTACCCAAAGCCAATTTTGATTCAACCAGTACCTATTTACTTGTAAGTAGAATTTAGTAATGAGTGTCTAATTTCGTTCATATTTCTTTTTTAATATTCTTTATTTTAGCAGGTGTAAAATGTCAATTTGATAGTACAGGATAGCCATGGTAATTTAGGCTAAAGCTTCTGTAAGTTTATTGAAGTGTAAGTATGTAGTTTCGTCTGTAAGTCTGTTGAAGAGCAAGTGTGGGCTTCATCCATATCTTCATTAAAGTGCAAGTGTGGGTTTTGACTTTGTTGAAGTACTAGTGTGTAGTTTTGGCTATAACTTCGTTGAAGTACTAGTATGTGGTTTCGCAAGTGTGTGGTTTTATTAAGCTTGTAAGTATAATATAATAAGTGTTGTGAACTTTCATACTTCGATCATAACTCTTTTTCTGATGCTCTTTATTTTGATAGTATATTAATAACCTTCAGGTTTTGCTCCACTCAAAGCTGACTTTGATTATACCAGTACATTTTGCTTGTAAGTATAATAAGTGTTGTGTACTTTTATACTTCGATCATAACTCAATTTTCTGATATTCTTTATTTTGATAGTACATCAATAACCTTCATATTTTGCTTTACCCAAAGCTGACTTCGATCATACCAGTGCCTTTTGCTTGTAAGTATAATAAGTGTTATGAACTTTCTTACTTCAATCATAACTCAATTTTCTGATATTCTTTATTTCAATAGTATATCAATAACCTTCAGGTTTTGCTCTACCCAAAGCCTATTTCGATTATACCAGTACCTTTTGCTTGTAAGTATAATAAGTGTTATAAACTTTCTCACTTTGATCATAACTCTTTTTCTGATACTCATATTACAAACTAGTTTTTTTTGGGTTGTCATGGTTTCACTCATAACTTCATTGAAGTACTAGAGTGTAGTTTCGTTTGTAACTGCAAGTGTGTGGTTTCGTTAAGCTTGTAAGTATAATAAGTGTTGTAAACTTTCATACTTTGATCATAACTCTTTTTCTGATATTTTTTATTTCAATAGTATTATCAATAATCTTCAGGTTTTGCTTCACCCAAAGCCGACTTTGATTATACCAGTGCCTTTTCCTTGTAAGTATAATAAGTGTTGTGAACTTTCTCACTTTGATCATAACTCTTTTTCTAATGCTCATATTACAAACTAGTTTTTTTTGGGTTGTCGTGGTTTTACCTATGACTTCATTGAAGTACTAGTGTATAGTTTTGTTTGTAACTGCAAGTGTGTGGTTTTGTTAAGCTTGTAAGTATAATAAGTGTTGTGAACTTTCATACTTCAATCATAACTCTTTTTCTGATGTTCTTTATTTCAATAGTACATCAATAATCTTCAGGTTTTGCTTCACCCAAAGCCAACTTTGATTATACTAGTGCCTTTTTCTTGTAAGTATAATAATGTTGTGAACTTTCTTACTTCGATTATAACTTAATTTTTTGATGTTCTTTATTTTGATAGTATATCAATAACCTTCAGTTTTGCTCTATCCAAAGCTGACTTCGATTATACTAGTGTCTTTGCTTGTAAGTATAATAAGTATTGTGAACTTTCTTACTTCAATCATAACTCTTTTTCTGATGCTCATATTACAAACTAGTTTTTTTTGAGTTGTTGTTACATTTTGCTATGGATGAAAACATGGATAATTTTTTGACTGTAAATAAAAAACTAGAAGATTTCCTTGTTATAAATGAAGAAAATGAAGATAAGAATATTTTATGAGTGAAGTTTCAAATGATTTTATGAATGAAGGAGCCATGGATTCTGAATTTGAAATAGGTTTGTTAAGAGTTTGTCATAAATAATAAGGACATTGTTAATATGACATTAATGTGTTAATATTGTTTATTTTGTTATTAATAGAGAGCCATGATGATATTATGTCACAAAATGAAATAGAATCATCATTCTTATTTTCTGGAAAAAAATTTGGTACATAGGATGAATGCGAGTTATCCCTAAATGAATGGGCAAAGGATAAAGAACTTCACTTTATTAAAGGTTGTGTTACTCGGGAAAATGAAGTTCTTTATTGAAGAACTTATTTATGTAATCATAGAGGCTTTTATGAATCAAATACTGAAAAAAGATACAGTTACTAAAAAGACACAATGTCTTTATCTTGTCAATACCTCATGTCCTAAAATTAACAATATAAAATGGTTTATATTTATTAACAAGATAGGTGATACTCATAACTATCTATTGAACCCAAGTAGAATTATGTTTGAAGATGAAAAACAATTTACTGCTAAAATACTGATTGATGCAAAATTTATAACTGAAAATTGCAAATTTGGAGCAACTGTATAAAGAAAGTTTCTAGAAAGCAAGTATCCAACATGAACAATATGCTCAAAAGACCTGTATTTCGCAATCCAAAAATTTCGTCCTACTAACAAATCATTGCTAAATGACATGAAAAAGGTATGATCTAGTCTATTATTATATATAAACAAATGGTATGAATTAGGTTTGATATATTACTTTATAGGTTTCTAATTGGCTTAACTAGAAAAAAGATACAGATTCTCATTGGGTTGTTGCACGTAAGTTTAATGAAGACAATATCTTAATGCATTTACTATGGATAATGCCAGGTCAAGTTGAAAATTAGATCCAATACTCAGACTGTATTTTACATGATGTTATCCACAAGACTAATCATTATAGAATGGCGTTGTTGTTGTTTGTTGGGTTTGACAGTAATCGCAAAAATATTTTATTAGCACAAGCACTTCTTTGTAATGAAAGTGTTGGCTTATATAAGTGGGCTTTTACAGAAATCATTAAAGCTACAAATGTTTATCTAGCTGTTATTCTTACTGACACTGATCTAGCAGTTGATGCTGCGGTTCATCAAGTATTTACTATGACATATCCGATTCATTGTGCTTATTATTTAATACAAAATCTACTACTATATTTGTTGAGTTTGTATCAGAATTATTATATTTCTAATGAGCATGTAGATAAGTTTGAGTTGGTTTGCATTGAAATTGATTTGCGTTTATTATGAGTTACTGAAAGAATTCTGCTACAAAGTTTACTTGCCATTCCAGTAACTACAATATGTGGTTAAGGTGAGTTAGTTTGTAATAGAATAATCATAATCTATTATGAGTTACTGTATACAGTACTTGCTATTTCGGTGTATAAGTGTCTAAACTAGACAATTTTTTATTATGAACTGAATTACTACAATTCATTTCTTTTTTAATATGAAAAAATAAAAGTGGGGAATGACTATCAGAGCTTGTAGTGGTTTTGAATTTTAAGAAACATGTGGTATTACACATTTAAATTCTATTTATTTTAGTATGTACATACATATTATAAATTTTTTATACAAAGGTCCCAAGTTAAATTGGCAATCTCTGATGGCTATTACTCTATTTTAGAGTATTATATCTTCGAAGAACCTTATTAATCTTAATTATGTTTGGGCAGGTGACTGCTTTTTAAACCTCGTTTGTAATCTGGCATATTTCTTTTCTGTTTAAAACGGAAAAGTTCAGTATAAATTTTATATGTATTATTGTATTAAATTTTCTCTATCTGGATAACTTTTAAGTTAAATCAATCTTTAATTCGATAATTAGATGTATGCATTGCTAGGTATGAGATCTTTATGCTTATTGTTCAGGATCCATTACTTAAATATTGTAATATTGTTCACATGGTTTGCCCTAATTTTAATTATGACACAACACATTATCTTTATAGAAATTAATATAGTTTGGTAAAACAACTAGAGATGTGTGAATGCAAGTTTTTTTAGCCTTGCATTACATAATGCAGTATTATGTCGCATGATACATTATGCAGTTCTGTATAATATACTATGACCTTTTAAAACCTATATGCAGTGAACAGACTATGTATTATTACTAAGAGGTTATAAGATTTGAAATCATAAAATATTAGATTTATATAGTGAAAACAGACCTGGTAGATTAATTTTTTATTGGATTTCAAAGGCTATAAATATGATAGAAACAGATGTCTATAAAGTAATTATTGATGAAATGATATGGATTAAAATTATATAATAATTTCTATGTGCATTTTTAAATTTTATGCAACCGGCATTGCATTATGCAGCATTATGTAGCATGCAACATCGCTGCATAATGCTTACGGCACATCTCTAAAAACAACCTATTTTTACGTGTTATAAGATACCTAATGCAATTCGACTGTAATTATAACTATAGTACAGATAATATAGTAATAATATTTAAAGATTTTATTAGTTATAAAAATCGTAATAACAAACAATATAAACTTCATGTTATATATCTCTTGAGTCAGTAAATATACATAAACAAAATTATGTCTAATATATTCTTTAATCTGACAAAGTTTTATTTATCTTATATATTAAAATAAAAGATAATTATTGTAACAGCTTACGCTAAAAGTGGCTTATAATAAGATTTAGAGCCTTTATTTAAACTTACAATACTATAAAATAGTGGTATACTAAAATTTAAATGATCCATTTCTAACCTAATTTTAAGAAAGGCTAAAACAAAAACCTCAAAATTTTAAAAATTTCAACATAAACTATCAATTTAATGGTACAAAAAAAAAAAGAATTAAATGGTATTATATCCTTAGATGCTGTGCTACTCGAATAGTACTCTTTTGTTAGGAATGCAGAAATTTTAGGTATAGTAGAAAACATGATGGCTTTGTATATTGAAACAGTAGTTTAGGTGCCTAGACAAATGAATTATAATATGAAATTTTAAAGAAATTGCAAACTAAATTTGCTCTAATGTGAGATTTTCACTGTTTAAACAGATTAGTAACCTATCTACTGAGTGTTGGGTATTACATTAATTTGTAAACTTGCTAAATGTTCCTCTAATTGAGAAAATTTCATTTGCTTATTAAGAAGATTCTTTAATTCATCATCAGTAAGATTATTTTTTAAAACAGTTTAGTAGGCTGTTAATAGTGTTTCTGCATGAATAAGATCATTACTTTTTTTTAGTTTTGCTTATTTGTTTTTGGGTATTTAGAAGTAGGTCGACAGTGTCTTTATAATTACCAGCTTTGGTTTTAATATCTGTGACTAGTTGCTCCAGTTCCTCTTTTCTTTTTCTGACTTGAGGTGATAATTCTTAGAATTTAATACAACTGATTTCTTGTTTAAGCTTTGTGAAATTATAAGATTGATTTGGAAAAAATAGATTAGAAAACTCTTAGAGTTCCTGTTTTAACTTTTCTAGTTCTTGATTTCGCTTTCCTAATTCTTGATTTCGCACTTTTAGCTGCTGCCATAAATCACTTATTGTTTCACAAATTTTTTCATTAGAAAGTTTTTGAAAATTGCTTCTTGAACCTCTCCAAGTATTGTTATTAAATTTTCATATATTCTTGGGATTATAGTCTTGACTAAACTCTCCAGTGACTCCAAATACTCCATTAAAAGAATTATAACTTATATATTCTAACCCAAAAACCTGTGGCTTTATTTCTACTAAATCTAGCCTCTCTAAATTAGTCCAATATTATAAAGAGCTTAAATGTTATTTTTTCCAATACTTAGCATTTTACAATTAACGAAAAGAGCCAAGATTTTTAAATCATTAGTAGTTATTTGATTTTAAAAAATGCCCAACCAATTTAATTTTTCTTGATTAGACAAATTATTTAAAAAGTTTAGATTAGTTAACAGATTCCTACAAGCTTCAATTTTAGAGATGTTTTTATTACTTTCAGAAAAGATTAAATCAGTTATCTTATTGTTTACAATAATTAATTCTTCTAAATTAGTATATTCTCTTAAATTTAATGAACCAACTAAATTTTTTTCAGCAACATTAATTTCTGTGCTATATTTAGAAAAGTTGTTTTCTATATAATCTTGGGCCTTTACTATAATTACCACAATATACTAAATATTACATAGACTGTTTTATGTCAGGTATAAAAAAACAAGTGTATCAAAAATTATTGTCTATTTAATTCCTTATTTATAATTTGACTTTACATTGTATGTACATACATTGTTATACAATATTTCTATATTGACTACATTGATATAATATGATTGTGGGTTGGGATCTCGCAGCCTAGTGATCTAGGCACCCAACTCTCCATGAGCGGGTTATGTGTTCAAGTTCTAGTAAGTATGTTTACTTATGAATATTTAAAAATATCTGCTATGGGAAGTCCAAGTGAATACAAGTCTGGATTAGAAATTTCCAGAAGGAGGTCATTGTGGAGTAGTTAACACTACATATAACCTTGGTTGTTATAGAAGGTTCTATTACACAAAAGTTGTATATATAAATCCGCGATTGGCAAGGTAGCACCAACAACCCTAAGGTGGCATTGGGGATTTTGTTTAGAAAGATGACTGGACAGTAGCCAGAATTGGAAGTGGTGAGAAATGTGGTGAACACAAAAGAACCTGTGATAAAGAATTGGCCTTACCAGATTTAGAACACCTCTGGCAGTATGGAACTTACTGGCCAATAAGAAGTTGAAGTATGAAGGCGTGTACGTGTTGATAGATCCAATAGGCTCTAGTCATACTCTTATTGAAGCCTTTGGATGTTAAGAGAACTTGGGAACACCAATAAGGTATAGCTGGTATAAGTGCATGCAGTGGTAATTGGGGCTACAACTTCTAAGAATTACCATAAAGAGAAATGATGGCACACCTGTTATCTCTGAGCCTCATGATGCCATCCAACTATATTAACTACTAAAAGCATTTTGCAAAACATACCTGGGGACTCATTACTATATTGGGAAGTATAGTCATTAGCACAATTACCAAAATAGATATGTTATGACCTAGGTTCCAAAGTCACAAAAAACCAGCTAGTTATAGCAGCAAGCAGGCTTGAGATACTTACCCAATTGGGTAAAGGCAGCTGCATAGCTTTAGATACGAACTCCTGGAAGTATACTAGTAGGG